TAAAAATATAATATAAGCTCTGGCGGACTTGGTTCTATGGTAGGTCTTAAAGGGTTAAAAAGGACCAAATTCACTGTGGGCCACTAAGTTAAATATGATTTAATTCTTTTGTGTGTCTGTCACATAGCTCTAATTAGCAATATGTGTGTTTGTGAACTTGTGAACCAAGCTGGGTAGCGTTAGCTAATAGCTTAGCACTCCACCCTCTCGTTCAGGTATGGTCACTTCTAGCTGCAAAAAATGAAGTTGCAGTGGCCAAAAGCTCCAAAATCAGTGGCTGATGTCATAGTGGTTCCATCCATCTTTTATATATACGGCATGCTTGGTGCATTGAAGGTAGGGTGGGGGGTCCAGCCCTGTTATAAACACTGTAAACCTGAATGTGATCAATTTAAATCTTACTCTATGTTTTTTTCAGGCATCCTTTACATAAACCCAGCAGACCTTGGGTGGAATCCACCAGTGTCAAGCTGGATCGACAAGAGGAAAGTCCAGTCAGAGAAGGCCAACCTGACCATTCTCTTTGACAAGTATATCCCACCTTGCCTGGAAGCACTCAGGTCGAGGTAACGCAGCTCCTCTGTGGCTTTGTGCCACTGTAACAGGAAGTGCATGGAGTCATATATTGACGCAGGATGTTGGGGTGTGACATAACACGTAACAAATGGTACTAAGTGGGCGTGTTAGACGAGCAAACACGGACTGAGTCAGCAGAATTGGATGGTGCTTTCTATACAGGACCACTCGCCTCTTCCAACACCTCCATCACTGCTCCGATTAGAGCACACAGCAAAAACAGGAAGCAGAGGAGGGCAAATTTGTTCACAATGTGAGACAGTGTGTATGGAACCACTGTGCCACAGCTCATAAATATGTCATCTCTTCAACATGATTCAGTGTGTTCAATTGAAAGAAGCTGTGTTTGTTCTGTTAAATGAGGAAAAGAAACATGTGATCCGATTCAAATCTGCAGATTGTAACACCAGAGTTTAACATTTTATTGTTTGCTGTGTACACAGTTGTTCCTTTATGTACTGAATGAGCAACATGAGACGACTACAATGCTTGAATCATGTGATGTAATGCGTCTATCTTTGTTCAGGTTTAAGAAGATCATCCCTATCCCTGAGCAGAGTCTGGTCCAGATGCTGTGCTACTTGCTGGAATGTCTTCTGACTCCAGAAAACACCCCGGCAGACTGTGCCAAAGAACTTTATGAGCTCTATTTTGTCTTTGCTGCGGTCTGGGCCTTTGGAGGGGCCATGTTTCAAGACCAGGTACTGCATAGTGTGAGATATGTACTAAGTGGTTGCATAAAGCAGGAAAAGAATGGGAAATAACTGAAACAGCTGAATAATTTTTTTCCCATAACCCCTTCCTGAAAGAGTTTCTCGCACTTGGTGTTTCTTGGTATTATTCCAGCCGTGATGGCTCTTATGCAACTCAACTCTGTGTCTCTATTCGTGAAAAGTCATTTCAATGTTATTTTCAGTTGAAGAAATGGCAGGGGGTTTTAAAAGGGAGAGATCTTCATCTGAAAATGAAGTGGACTCCATTCCCCCTGAACAACACACAGACTGGCTGAATTTAAATCAGCAGGAGAGCCATGGCGAACAGTTGCTAAGCAATCCAGTTAGTGCCGTACAGTAAGCGCGTCCGTCTAAGTTATGGGATAAAACTGCTTTCCCCTTGGTACAAATGTACTCCACTTTATTTTCCCATCACAGATGCATTTAAATGCTAAGTGGTTTTATTGACTGGAGAGTTGGTAGTGAATAGAGAAGACAGGTAGGAAGGAGTGGGGAGGAGAGAGGAAGGCGAGGAGCTGCCAGCCAGCAGGTGATGAGGCTACTTCACCGTCTGAATCGCAGAGATGCATAGATACGCCTGCCATCTCTTATTTTCCACCCTTCATCTGCTGTAGCTGGATCACTATATTGCTGCCATTTATCTGTCCTCTGGTTTGCATTCGCACCAGTATAAATCAAACACATAGATCCATCGCTACTGTACAGAAAAGAAGCAGAGGGGAAGTCATTTTAGAGTATTGACCGCTCGCCTACCCTCTGTGTCTCTGCATGTGTGCTCTGTGTGAGCACAGCTGGTTGACTACAGAGTGGAGTTCAGCAAGTGGTGGGTGACCGAGTTCAAAACCATCAAGTTCCCTACCCAGGGCACCGTGTTTGATTACTACATCGACCCCAAGACTAAGAAGTTTGAACCCTGGTCCAAGATGGTGCCCACGTTTGAGATGGATGCAGACACACCACTTCAGGTACAACAAAGGTTTTAGATTAGATGCTTTTTTGTGTGTTTTCTTTCATTCTTTGCTTTCTTAGGTTTTATGTGCTATTTACGGGACTAAATGTTCCAACCAGCCAATCAGTAGCCATCTTGAAAAACCTCAAGGCATTAATGTTGGCAGTTATTATTAAACATTTAAACTAACATTAAT